CACGGCTTGAACTATCTTGCTTTGCATGTAATGAGTCTATCTCATATATTAGTTTCACCTTTTAAGTTGCATTACTGAAATAAATGAACTTTTGCACTATATTCTAATTTTTGAGTTTCACCTGTACAGTATAATGCACTGCAACATATCCTTTTTGTGGTAAAACATATAAATCGCACATAAAACCCAAAATTAAAATCTACAAATATAATCAATTTATACAATCAAAATAAATATTAATCACTTAAACTTAAAAATTGTGTTCAAATTAAATTCACTCCCAATTGTGTCTCAAAATCACAAAAATAAAATTACATAAAAAATAAAATCCCAATGTGTCCAAAATCCCAGTTCCAAATTTTTCACTTCAATCCAGTTAAAAGGAAATTGATCCTAAATATTCCATGAAAACCTCAAAAAAAAGAAAAAGAAAATTCATAGCGTATTATCTTTTTTAAATATATGTACTTCACTCTGTGCAAAACACAAAACCACTCTTAAAATAGTGAGAAAAAAAAAACTCGTGCAAGTAATATATAACTATATACTTATTCTTTCACTACATAAATCAATAAATAAATAAAACCCAAAATGTGAAAAAACTCGTGATCACTCCAACCACTTGTGAATAGTGATACTAGGTACTAGTACCCTCTATAATCCAGCCAAAAATGATACCAGGTACTATTACCCTCTTGAAGTTATTCTCAAGCATGGGCTAACATAGGGAATCCATATCTTTCAATCCTTCATTTCAGGGGTACTCCTCCAAACTCCTGTAGATTGTCCCTTGGCTTGCAGGGCAATTTTTTCTTCTTCTTGGAAACCACTATCAACTCTCACCCGTTGAACAGCGCTCATGGAGAAGGTACAGGACACACACCGGGTGATAGGACAGGACAGGCAGCCAAGTCCACACAGCCAGGCGACACTTCCCCGGACCATCCACTCTCATACAATTCATCAATCCGACCGCAACTGCAACGTCACGTGATGGAACCATTTGAGAAGGATTTTTGGAGCAGGAATAGTTGCATCTGTCCTTTCAGGACAAAAAGCGATTTTAGCCTAAATTTTATTGGGCTAAAAAGGAGGTGAGCGTATAATATAGCAATTTTTTTCACCCATTGGATGTCGCCCATTGGATGAAAGTTTTTTCCATATATTAGGAGGACTGTTCACTTAATACGGACATTTTTTTTTTTTTTTGTGGTTGTAATTGTTTATTTGGTTTATTGGATTCCATTGAGGAAATATTATAATTTTGTTTTGATCATCATATTTTATATATTTTTTGGTTTTGTTTTTGTTAATAATCAGGTTTATAATTTGATCACGAACACAAGTCACAGATGAATATAAGTTTGTTTTAGGTATTCATTTTATTATCACATTATATTATGGGTAAACACTATTAATAGCACTGGAGCGCAGCACTATTGTTAATATTTGGATTGAGGTGTCAGCACTATTTATGAGTTAGTGTAAGGAGCTAGCGAACCATATGTGCATTTATTTTTTTATTATTTTTGATTAATTGATTAATTCAAGCACTTTTGAATTTCACCATATTAGCTCACAAGTATTTCTAGCACTTGATCACTGGAACATGTTTGGTTCTCTGTGTGAACAGAGAATGCCAGTGCCATACATTTCTTTGGCTGCTGTAAATGGTGAGAAAGTTTTTTTCTTTTTCTCAATGAGACGGCGGCTTCCTGCTTTCGAAGTTTTGTTCTGCCTCACTTACTGTTAGTTATTGTACCTCCCAGGTACAGACAATGAACTGAATCAGAATGAAACTGCCATTCGGGTTCAGGAATGTGAGCTGTATACCATAATAATCACAGGACTTTGTAAGACAGTCAGCTCCATTCTGTGGGACTTTGTCCTTTTAGAAGACATCAGAAAAGCAGAAATAAGACATTTATTTTTGATGACACACAGGGGGAGATTTACTAAAACTGGAGCACTCATAATCTGATGCAGCTGTGCACGGTAGCCAATCAACTTGTTCAATTACGCTTTGGCAATAAAACCTGGAAGCTGATTGGTTTCTATGCAGAGTTGCACCAGATTTTCCATTCTCTAGTTTTAGTGAATACCCTCAATATATCTACAGATTGATCTAGACCAGCCTTTCTCAACCAGGATGCCCAGGCACCCTGGGGTACCTTGAGGTTTCTTCAGGGGTGCCTTGGCAAAATGTCTAAAAATTGTCCAAAACTTGTATACAAGCCAGCGGGTGGAACAGGCCTGCCTTTTAGTTACACAAAGCCGCAGGTTTTCATTGTGCACCATTACCACCTTCTAGCCGCCAACCAATGACATCATCAGTTGATAAGGAGGATGTCAACTGCACAGGATCCTAGTTTGCTCCTCCCCTGCCCCTCTCCATCAGTGCTGGGGTCACATTAGCTCAGTGATGGAGAAAAACTGAGGGAGATGAGAAACATGGGAATACTAGTCAGTACCAGTGTGCAGAAGTGTATTTGCTTTGGAAGAATAAATCCCCTTCAATGTTGGGTGTCCTACATGTGTGGATGTTGCTGTGTTATATAAAACTATTAGAAAGTTTTTCACATTTTAGAATGGGGTGCCTCTGGACTGTCCATAATTTTAAAGGGTGCCTCAGGACTGTCCATAATTTTAAAGGGTGCCTTGGGACTGTCCATAATTTTAAAGGGTGCCTGGGGACTGTCCATAATTTTAAAGGGTGCCTTGACTGAGAAAAGGTTGAGAAACACTGATCTAGACAATGTTAAATCCGACTCTAGCTTCCTCCTTCTGCCCCCCCTTATCATCCCCAGCATTTTTTTAATACTTACCTTTTCTATGTGTTTTCAGGCTGGTTACATGACATCCCTTTATGATGCAGCCATAGTAATGCATTGACAGGTCTTTGACACCCTGTACACACAAGGTGTTCTCATTCTTCTGTTTTGAATGATGCTGAAATGCTTTTTATTTTATACTCCCCACACCCCTGGGCCTTTTTTTATTTAAGGGGTAGTTACATACCTGATATATATATATATATATATATTCAAAATAAATAAAACCAGAAGGGTTGCAGCACAGAGCTTTACGTATTGCTCATACATGTACGTAAATTACACTGATGTTCCAGGCATCTCTGAGCTTGAAAAAGGACAGGGATGCTTGAAACGTTGCTGTAATTTATTCACGAATGTGACCAATAAATTAAGATCCCTGGGCTGCAACCCTTCTGGCTTTTGTGTATATATATATATATATATATATATATATTATATATAAATATATACATACATATACTGTATATACTGTAAATACTTTGATGAATTGCAAAAAAAATCCAACAACTTTTAATTATTTTTTTAAAGTGGCCCTGTCACTAAGAAACCCACTGTTAGATTGAAGCACCTTGCAAAATACATACCTTTCTAATGGATGGAGCCTCCAAGTTTAAGGGCTGTGGTCATGCTTCTATCCAACACTTCCAGGTGTGCAGAACTGATTGCACTTCTCGCTGTGCACCGTATGCCTTGCCAGGCGCTATGTCCCCACCGTGTCCTGTAGTATTGGATGCTAGCTGCAGCCATAGCTCTTGAACAGAGTGAAGAGTTGAGTCGCAATCCACTGGAAAGGTAAATAGTAGTCATCTTCTATTACAAGACTACTAACATACTTACCTGGCAGGGGAGATACCATGATCACGAAGGTGGTTCTCCCAGAGCGAGGCTCAACCATTGCACTCCGGCTGTGCTGACCCCTGCGATTTCCAAATGCGGGAAACTCGACTGCATAATTTGTGGTAGTGGGGGACTGCGTAAAAAAAAACAAAAAAAAAAACAAGACTACTGGACTGTGAGTTACAGGGTCACTTCAATGGGTACAAGACAAAACATCCAGTGGGTTCTTAATTTCCAGTGCTTCTGCTGCACTTTAATCTGAAAGAGGAAAAGAGAACTGGACAGGGCTGCGTATCCAACATGTTTTGGGGGTCCAAAAACACCCCCTTCATTAGGACTTGAGATACATCGGAGTGCTGAACCAGCTGCTAACGAGACCTGTGCAGATAATAACACTGGAAGAAATAATGCTAAAGGTCCAGTTAACATCTAGTCCAGTATTTCTCAACTGAGTAGCCACTGGCACTGGGGTGCCACTCGGCTTCCACTGGGGTGCCACAAATGTGGGACACAGTTTGCTCAGCATCATGCACTGCTATTGTACAGGCTGTCCACCAGCACCTTAAAAACCAATACAGCTCTGGGGCTAGGTTACACAGCTTCCCAACCGCACCATGGCAACGCATGATGCTGATCCAGGGTGGACAACATGCAGGGCCACCCCCAGCATTCAGGAGAGGATGGACTGCACCTCTGTCCAGACCTGCTTCCTGTTTGACCCTTTGCCATGCTGCTGGAGTAAGGTAGAGCTCTGGGGGTAAGAGGGGACCTTGAGTTGGGGGGACTCTGCTGTATAGTGGGCTTCTGAAGGGAAGGGTGGACCTCCTGATGTGATGAAAGGATTGTATGATAGGGGGATGCTGCTGATGTGATGGGGAACTCTGACATGATGGCAAGGGCATATCTGCCATGAGGCAAACAAGGCATTTGCCTAGGGCAACATTTTTCAGGGGGGTGGTGCTGCCCCCAGGCAGAAGGGACAAGGGACCAGGACTTGGCAGGGTGGTAAGCTCGGCAGGGCTCGGACTGTAGGCAGGGTTTAGGGGGGGGGTGAGCTCGGCAGTTCCCGAGCAGGGGGAGGTGGGCTCAGCAGTGCTCCAGCAGGGGGAGGCAGGCTCGGCAGTGCTCGGACAGGGATAGGTGGGCCCACCAGTGTTCGGACAGGTGGAGGCGGGCTCAGCAGTGCTTGGGCAGGGGCGGGGGGCTCAGCAGTTCTCAAGCAGGGAAGGCGGGCTCAGGAGTGCTCGGTCAGGGGTAGGCGGGCTCAGCAGTGCTCGGGCAGGGACGGTGGGCTTGGCAGTGTTCAGGTGGGTTCGGCTGAAAATCTCCTGTATCCTGTCTACAGACTTCCGTATCCTGTCCGCAGTTTCTGATCTCCTGCAGTATGTCTGCAGTCTCTGACAGTCTCCTAATGTATGCCTGTAATCCCTGACCATCTCCTGTATCATGTCTACAGTCTCTGACCATCTCCTGTAGTATGTCTACAGTCTATGACCATCTCCTGTAGTATGTCCGCGGTCTCTGACCGTCTCCTGTATCCTGTCCACAGTCTCTGACAGTCTCCTAATGTATGCCTGTAATCCCTGACCATCTCCTGTATCATGTCTACAGTCTCTGACCATCTCCTGTAGTATGTCTACAGTCTATGACCATCTCCTGTAGTATGTCCGCAGTCTCTGACCGTCTCCTGTATCCTGTCCACAGTCTCTGAACATCTCCTGTAGTATGTCTGCAGTCTCTGATCATCTCCTGTATCCTGTCCACAGTCTCTGACCATCTCCTGTAGTAGGATTGCAGTCTCTGACCATCTGCTGTACTTTGTCTGCAGTCTCTGACCATCTCCTGACACGGAGCCTAAATAGGAAGGTGTGGAGTTTACAGATTAGGGGTGGGTCTTAAAAAGGAAGGGGTGAGAAAAATTTAGATGGGGGGCACCCGATTTTAGTCTTGCCTAGGGCAGCACAAAACAAAAATACACCACTGCATGACGGGGGTTCTGATGTAATGGGGGGGAGTCTGCCAAGATGTGGGAACCTCTGTTGTGAAGGGGGGGCGTCCGATGTAAAGTTAATTTCATCAGGGCGGTTGTGTGCATCATCCCAGGCTTAGGTTTCCTATTGATGATAAGTAACATTTACATCAGAGTGGCCTTGATATTTTGCATAATTTTAAAGGGTGATGTGAGTGACAAAAAAATTAAAACCTTGATCTAGTCTATATACCCTTTAGATTGTAAGCTCCATGAGCAGGGCCCTCATTTTCCTTCTGTACTGAAATGTATTGTAATTGTACTGTCTCCCTCATATTGTAAACTGTTGGCGCTATATAAATCCTGTGTAACAATAATAATATACATTGATTTCTAACCCCAACCCTGATGAATTGGGTGTTTTGGGCCCCTGAAGAGCATTGGCTGCTCTTAATTGTCTCCCTGACCAGTAATAGAATAAAGTCATATCAGGACCTTTTATCAATGGTTTGGCACTTCAGTTCTCATTTTTGCTACAATGTGCTTTAAGCTGTCCTACCCTTTAATGGGAATCCATGCATTTTTATCCTTACTTCTGTATATTCTCCAGCTGCTGCAGATTGGCAGTTGGTAGAGGAGGCATAAGCTTTTGTCAGAGGGCTATGGTGTGGTTGCAGCATTTCTAGTTGAAATTCCTTCCCATGTGCCACACAAAGGAAATAACGTCTTGAACAAATGGGATGTATGACATGGAGCAGCTCTTGGCGTGCTGTTGACTGAGGACATGTTTATACACGATGACAGAAGCACTTTAATTTAGCTTAGTTCGGGCCAGACAGCGCTGAGGCCCATGTCTCAGAACCTCGCAAGCTCTTCCGGGATCCTCTACCCTGATAGGTCAGCAAACGCATATATATCTCCATGCTCACAGCTGCATGATATCAGCAGGCTTGCACCACTGTTTATATTTAGGTTTAACAGATGCAGAAGTGATGGATGAGGTTAAACTGAACTTGCAAGTTATATTTAAACATCCTATTCTCTGTCTTAATCATTTCTAGGCCTCATAAAACATCCTCTGCAGCAAGAAAAGTGCCTACAAATGAAAGCAAGTCATTTCCTGGCCCAACAACCCAGTGCTTTTTCTTCATCTTGAATGTGCGTTAATGTATTTATATACTTAGGCGTTCTGTGTAGAGAACCAATTATGAGATACAGACAACTAACTTTCCATTTCATGGACAATTTACCATGCTAGAGGGCTGCAAAAGGCATTGAGTTGTAAATATGTTAACAAAGGGGAAAATATGAGTTTTGCCTAAAGCTGAATTCCAGGTATGGCAATTTTTACATAGTGACATTGGACCAGATTGGACCATACCTGTGCCATACCTGCGGGACCCACGTGGAAGCTGGATTAACTATAGTAGGCACTTCTACTCGAGTGATTTCCAGTACCTTCCAGATCCCATGCTGAACGTCTGTCTACTTAAATACAGGAGGTTGTAAGCTTTGCACAGGCGCCACTCAGAGAACACTTTGCGTTTTCTCAATGAATGCAGCCTATTCTCTGATTGGGTCAGGTGGAGATCATGATGTCACAGGGGTGAGGTGACAATTGTGACACCTTGTCGAATAAGAGAACGCTTTGCATTCATTTATTGAATGCAAAGTGTTCCCTGATTGGTGCCCATGCCAAGCAAGCAACCTCCCATATTCACAATGCAACAGAGCAAGCCACTTGGTACAGGACATGAAAACTAGTAGAGATCACATTGTAAGGGTCCCTTACATTGGTTGGCAGTTCCTGCCATGCTGACTCTGGACCCTTCCTGCTTTTTCTTGGATGGGACAGTCACCTACCTGTTTGAAGATACTCTGCCATATTCAAATTCAAAAGGGTTACTCACACACAGGGTGCTCCTTCCCCTCACATACAGGGAGATTCTCAGCAGGCTCAAGAGCCTTACTAAACTAATCCATGGGTCCTGCTAGGCGAGGGCAGCTGCTTAGTGAATGACTCATTCAAAGCCAATCGAGAGATGTAGATATATGTTACATAAAGTGTCACTAAGCTTGCAGACATGGTATATGGCCACAGTGGTGGATACTCCCTCCCCACCCACCAAGCTCGTAGGCATGGTATATGTCTACAGTGGTGGACTCTCTTTCCCCCTAAGCTCACAGATATAGTATATGGCCATAGTGGTGGACACGACCTGTGCCTAAGCTTGTAGATGTGGTATATGTCTACAGTGGTGGACTCCCTTTCCCCCTAAGCTTATAGACATGGTATATGGCCACAGTGGTGGATTCTTCCATCCTGCCAAGCTCGTAGATGTGGTATATGGACACAGTGGTGCACTTCTTCACCCTCTAAGCTCATAGACATAGTATATGGCCATAGTGGTGGACATCCTCTCCCCTTAAGGTCATAAACAAGGGTACATGGCCAAAGTGGTGGACTCCCCCTCCCCCTAAGCTCATAGACATGGTATATGGCCACAGTGGTGCACTCCCCCTTCTCCTAAGCTCATAGGCATGGTAAACAGCCACAGTGGTGGACTTCCCCCTCACCCTAAGCTCATAGACAAGGTATATGGCTACAGATAGTGGTGGACACCTCCTACTCCTAAGCTCATAGATGTGGTAAACAGCCACAGTGGTGGACTCCGCCTAAGCTCATAGACATGGTATATGGCCACAGTGGTGGACTCCACCCCCTGTTAATTCCTGCCACAGCCAATTCTAAAAGTTCTGATATATAGAGATCTCCATTCCTATTTGAACTCATTGACACCACGAGAAAAGAGGGGAAATCTCTCCAAAGTAAGGAAGAAAAGTAAGACCATTGCCCCCATTGGGAAAGTTTACCTTTTTTTCTTGTTAATATGATAACCATAAAAAGGGATTTTATATGTGACTGGAGTTCAGTGTTACAATGAACAAACTTTTGAAGGCTATCATCATTTGGTTTGCTGTAGACACTGGAAGCGACGCAACTGAAGACATCAGATTATATGGTCTTACAGTTTTCTGACTGAAGGGCATCCTGGCACGAGGACATTCACAGAGGGTGACAGTGATGGACTCTAAATTGGTAGAAAATATAATTTTCTGCAGCAGGGTTCAATAGAGTGTATGGTGGGGACTGCCTGTGTTCCCACCAAGGCGAGTCACCCTCTCTGTGTATTCTTCTGACCATTGTCAGTGGGACAGAAATGGATGTGAACACCAACATTTCACAGAACAGGAGGTTTTGGAGTTATCTTCCCGTGGGGACACCTTTTTCAGTAACAATTGTCTAGGGGGTTTCCCCCTTTCTTGTTTCCTCTGGACTCTTTACTCTCACTAATGCCATTTACCAATACATATGTGAACGTAAGTGAACTTATTGTGTGAGTTGTCTGAATTAACTTTGCCTGTGAATGAGTTTTAGTAGAAAGGTCGTTTTGTACCAAAAAAATAAAGCCAAAACAAAGAAGCTGAGGGAAACAGATTCATTGTGGAAGTGGAAGTGACTGAAGGAGAGGAAGCACTGTGACCACAACCGTTTTTCTGCTTGTGTTAACTGTACAAACCACAAAACCACAATGATCCTTCTCTAAACAGGGACGAGGAATAGGATCTCCATTCACAAAATCATCAGTGTGAAACAAAAAAGTTCATTATTACTTTTCTAATATATTATGAACCTAAGATCTGAAGCATGTTCGCTGGGTCTCTAATCTCAGTCGGTGCATGTCTTGGTCTGATGTACAGGAGATAGATGCAGCACGAACACTTGTGGAATGCCCTTACACACCGAGCAGCCATGTGTTTGAACATTTACCATTGCCCACATGGATGACATGGTGTATTTGAAGAGACACTGTCACTTTGTCCATTTAGGGCCAAGTAACTGTCATATAGCAGAGAGAGAATCATTTTCGTGGCAAGGCACCATGAACATCGTCCCCCCCTTGCCGACACAGTGAGCTTTAGTACAGCAAGCCTTCAATGTGTGAATATTCATTACTGAATGGATCTGGGAAAATGTAACTGCCTAGCTGTCAACACTTCCTGATTGTAATCTGTGTAACCGTCTTAGCGGATATATCTACACCACACCGAGAAGGGGCTTTGGGTGAACATGCAACAATAATTATTACTGTTATCCAGAGAGATTTTGATATTTTTCACAGTCTTGTCTGATGGTATTATTTCATGCTATACTTTAACACTTTGAATAACACTTTTTGCGCGGTCATACAACATTGTACCCAAACTAAAATTTTATCATTTTCTTCACACAACTAGAGCTTTCTTTTGGTGGTATTTAATCACCGCCGGGGTTTTTATTTTTTGCTAAATTAACAAAAAAAAGACCGAAAATTTTGAAAAAAAACAAGTTTTTCTTTGTTTCTGTTATAAAAGTTTACAAATAAATAATTGTTCTTCATAAATTTAGGCCAAGATGTATTCTGCTGCATGTCTTTGGTGAAAATAACCCAAATTAGGATGTATTTTTTAGTTTGTAGGAAAGTTATAGAGTTCACAAACTATGGTATAGATCTGAATATTGATCAATCCTGAAGTACTGACGGCCAATCTAATTTCTTGAGGTCCAAGAATGTCAGAACAGTATAGATATCCCCCAAATTACCCCTTTTTGCAGAGTAGACAGTCCGACGTACTTCATAAGAGGAATGGTGAGTTTTTTGAAGTTGTATTTT